TTGCTACTATTTTGGGACCAGTTGAAGCCTAAAAATGGCTACAAATACAGTCACAGCAGCTGCTCGTCATGAGCTGCTACTGTGTGGCAGAGCCCAGAGAGAGGGCTTTCAGGAGCACTATTCAGTTTGATCCAGCTCAACGTTGCGGAGTAGTAACACTGTTCCGTTACCGTGAGCGGCCGGCGGCCGGCGGCGGCCGGTGCGGCACGCGGAGCACTCCGTGGTGACGGGTGCGGACGAGCGAATGAGAGGTCCCTTTCAGTGAGAGATAGGCAGTCCTAGTCCCTAACAACACATCTTCCACAGATAGCGACCTCTCATTCGCTCGTCCGCGCCCGTCACTGCTAGTCGGGGCACTCCCGGCGTACGGCCCGGTCCCGGTCGTCACTCCGGTTGCTCGTGTTCACACCGTCAGAACTCAGCTCCGCTAAGGATCCAGCGTCTGAGACTTGGGCATCTTACACAACTTTTGTAGTAGAGCACAATGGCACCCTTGGATCAAGTGGATCACTTCATTACTAGACCGTACTAGAGGTCCCCGTTTTCGGCCGCCGCGGCCGGAGAGCACCCCCGTCGCCCCCGGGGGCCCGTCGACACCCCAGGCAAGCAAGTTCGTTGCGACCGAGTCCGAGCGCCTTGCACCGTTGCTTGAGCTCTGGGACGGTGAGCGCGTCGAGCGGCGTCGGCGGCGTCGGCGGCGCCAGCGATGGTGGCTCTTGCGGCACCGCCTCTTGCTCCTCTTGCGGCGGCTGCGGCGGCTCATGTGAGGTCGCCACCGTGAGTTCGTTCATATATCGTGAGAGAGCCTGAGAGAAAAAAATTCCTGGGGTCGCCTGGATGTGAGGTCGCCTTCCCATCAATCAATCAATGAGGTTACCGACTGCACTCCAAGTGCTCCAAGTGCAAAACTCCCTCGCACAACACTGGGCACGGGACTGGCGCGCACTGGCACTAACACGAGAAAAAGAAACTGCGCACGCAGGACCGGCCCCGAGGTCAGATCCTTCTACTATGTTAGTGACAAGACTTGTTTACTGGCTGGAGCCGAGCAGGAGGGCCCGGCGCACAACCCCTGGTCAACTCACGGTCCACACCCCGTGTAGAGCCGTACTCCCCGCACACCGAGAGGTGGTGGAGCAAGGTGGGGCCAACCCTCGTACGGCTCTACCATCCCCATTCAGAGATCAGGACTGGAGCCCCCACTGGTCAAACGCAGAACGCACACCAAGTGGCACACACGCGTGAGCACAACCTGCCAATGCAATGCGATGGGATTTAGGGCGATGCATGCACAACTGTACATGTACATGTTTGTTGTTGTTGTGCATGTGCATGTGCATGTGCGTGTGCATGTGCATGTGCATGTGCATGTGCATGTCGCGACGCGCAGGGCTCACTAGAGGCAGAGCTCACGCGCAGCCCCGCATGAACGGGCTCCACCTCTCGCTTTCGCGCCAAACCCAACCAAAGGCGGCGGCTGTGACGGCGACGGCGGCGGCGACGTCGATCGAGCGAGGAGAGCGGCGCGACCACCTGTTTCGTGAGACGAGCGAGGCAACAGATAAGCAACGGAGGGGGAGGTGGGGGGGGGTGGGGGGGTCACACAGAGGAGGGGCTCAGCGGCTGCCCTCCCTTGTTCTTTCTGCGCCGGATTTCAGAGTCCTGAAAGGAGTTCGCGCGCATTTGCAGCAATTTGATCGGCTCCTCGCCTCTGCCTACCACCGTCACCAGCGACGATGCAGATGTCTCGCGTAGTGACACTGGTTGGCCTTGTGCTCGCCACGGCTGTGCCAGTTCCCACGGCCGTGCCGGTTCCCATGGCCGAGAGCCACAACCTCGAGATCGAGCACGGCCGCGCTGCGCCAGCAGCAGGCAACTCGTTCAGAGTGTACAACATCAAGCCCCACTACCAATGTAAGCCGGACGGTCCCGGTCCGCACACCCCGGGATGTGCGGACAAGATCAAGCCTGCGATGAAGTGGGCGATTGAGACCGGCGCAGAGATTCTCGTGATGAACGAGGTGGAGGCGCCCAAGGTGCCCAAGCCGGACCCCGCTCATTTCGAGGGCGTCGGCTTCGTGTGCGTCTGCGGTTCGTTTGCGGACCCAGTTGTCGCCTTCATCAACAAAAATACTTTCACGATCGATAACAGCATCCTTGCAGACAACGCTTACACTGACGGCAACCTTCCTTACTTTGACAACATCAACCCCAACGACGTGTCAAAGAACTCGTGCTCGGTTCCATGCAGACCTCACGACACCCGCCCGGGCGGCATGATCCCCCTCACGCACAGGCTCACTGGAAAGAAGTTTTGCCTGGCCATCGGTTAGCGCCGCCGCGGCGCGTCCCCTGGCCCGCGCATGTAGCTGAGTGGCCCTCTGCCTGTTGCCTTGCAGGTACGTTCTCGCACAACTTTGACAATGACCCGCAAGGTGTCGACACCAGCGCCTGCCCAGATGACGGGGAGATCCTGTACGTCGTTGACTCGAATATCAACGGTTCCGGTCAAACGATCTCGATGAAGAAGGCCAAGCAGCTCACAAATCCTGCAAGAAAGTGCGACGCGGATCCCTTCATGAACATCGAGACTGACAACGGCTACTTTTACGACCGCATCGCAATGTGCGGCGGCGGCACCGTTACGAATCCGAGCCGAAACGCGACCCAGCACTGGCCGGAAGGACACGTGATGATCTCTGCTGACGTCACACTGTGAGGCGAACCCCGCTCCCCGGCATGGGAAGTCGCCAGGGGGACACAGCGGGCTCGATGCGAGAACAGCGATGTGTTAATTGCAGATTTTGTTGCCGATTAGTAGATGTAGATGGAAAGCCGAGCGCCGGATGCAGCACTATGGCTATGGCAACACGCCAGACGTGGTCGTCGGTCGGCTCATGCAGGAATGGCAATTGCGGCGCACCGTGGACGCGCCGGCGACGCGGCAGGGCCCGTTTGCCTTTCCCCTCGGCTTTTGTATGGGCCTCGGCAGCGCGATTGTCGCCGCGATCGTCGCTCAGCTCACGACCGAGCCGCGGCTGATTCGGCTGCAGAAATTCCTCGGCGCGTCGCGCGCCGCACGCAAATGCATGCCTGCGACCGACGGTGGGCTGGGGTACATCCTCGCGTCGCTTGGCCCGGCCACGCCGATTGCATACGTGGACATCTCCTCGACTGCACGCGTCCACTTTTGGCGCTCGCGGAGCTCGGAGAAGCTCCTGCGTGCTGGCAACCTCGCCATAATGCACGGCGCGAAGGATTGGGCAGACCACTTTGCATGGGCGGCTTGCGTGGTGAGGGAGCTGCCAAGCGGTATGCTTGAGCGCTCGAGGGGGCTCACGTGCACTGCCAACAATGTCGGCCTCGATTTTGAATGCCGACGCACCGAGGACACGTGGCGAGCGTGCGCTCAGGCGGGGCTGCTCGCGCGCGCGGCCGGGTCGGCGGACAGGGCGGCCGCCCGGGTGGGGGTGGCGGGCTCTCCGCATCCGGCACAAGGCCCTCGCCAGAAAGCCCATCGCGAGGTCGCGACGCGGAACGCGAGCGTGGTCTGGTGCAGCGTGTCGATGTCGGCGTCGGACGAGCGAGCGCGGCCAAATGTCGTGCCGGGCGGGGTCGCGTACACGCGCAGCGTGTGCAACAACGCATCCGAGCCTACCCAGTGCGCAGCAGAGAAGGCAGAACCGCACAGGGCTGGTCGGTTCGTTCAAAGACGCGATTAGCTACGACTACCACGGGTGCACTACTAGTAAAAGTCCAAACCTCGCCAGAGGACTGAGGACCAGAACCATCACGTGAAAAATCTTAATTCTTAATTTTGGCAGTCGTGATACCCATGAACCATGATGAAGTCATGGCTTGTTCTATATACCTAGACGGACGGCTAGAGCTGGTAGGACTCGCCAGCGTGACAAAACGTTCATTTGCACTTGTCACGACGGATTGGGGAACACGCAAAATCCACCGTGCCGTGCCCGGAGCACACCGGACAAGCTCTCATGGCACGGCCGGCATCCCGGCCCATGCCATGAGGCACTTGGACTCACTCTGGTCTCTGCATCCTCAAAGTTGCAACCGAATTCTTGTTCCCCAACCGGTCGCGCACGCACACCTCGCGAGACGGGGTACATGGTGCACTTTGGTCCATACAGAGCCGGGGCAGCGCTTCCGATGCGCCGCCGCTGCTCGGCTGGTCGAGCCCGCGTACCGAGCGTGCCGTACCACTGGCCTCAGATGAGTCCCGCGATTCATCATCTTCCTCCGCGGGTCTCGAGGCGCCTGTGAGCAGCGTGTGCTGCACAAGTGAAGAACACCAGGGCCGGCCCGGACCATCTGCTGATCGGAACTGTCGTACACCGTGCGGAGGAGCTCGAGATCCACGGTTCACGTGGAGTCGCGCTGGCTGGGCTACCGGGTATCTGTGCCACAGACTGACCGGTACCTCACGCCGCGGCCTCCGCCTTGAGGTTACCGCTGGCGACTGGCAGCCCTGGGCGTGCTCATGCCGAACGCCACGCAGCACCGCGGCTTCTGTGCGCTCGTCACGGAGACACCAGCTCCACTTGGTGCGTGCGAGAGCCGCAGCGAGGGCATCCTCACGCTGCCCAAGCAGCCCCGTGCGATGGCGTCCCGGTTGGCTCGACATCTTGCGCTGTCAAAGCGCAGGATGCACCGCGCCGGTCGCCGTGTGCTGGAAGACGGAGGGTGCGACGACCAATGCACGCAGCGCGCACTCCGGCAGCAGTCGGCGACCGAGGCGTGTGTGGCGGCGTGCGAGGCCTGCTCGCGGTGCCGATGGGTGTCCGTCTCGGCGGAAGCCAACGTCTGTGCCTGGTACTCGGACTGCGACGTGGGCGACCTCCGCAGCTGGTGGGGCCCACGGCGGGTTGGCGCAGAGTGGACGACGGTCCAGGTGCGCGAGAGCATTCCGCCTCCCGCAGCGCGCCGCTGGAGCGCCCCTCCTCCGGCTGAGGCGAGCCGCGCTTCCAACGGCTCGGCGCTGCGCCTCGCAATCGCCACGCTGTCGTACCCGCCTCCACGATCCCTACCAGCGCCACAGGAGCACTGCGCCTTCCGCCTCTGGTGCCAGGGCGCGCGCAGGCTGCAGCAGGCCCTGTCGGGCCCGTGGGTGGTGTCGGTGCTGATCCTCTGGCTGCCTGTCCGTGGGAGGGACGGCCTGAGCCTCCCTCCGCCGCGGCCGGCCGCCTTTTGCAGCTTCGCACAGGTCATCGAGCCCGACCAGAGGTTGCTGCAGGCCGCGCGTAGCTGCCTAGCGCAGCAGCGGAGGCGTCGCTATCAGACGGGGATGCCGCCAGAGGTGTTGCTCAAGTGGCAGTTTGTCGGCATGACAGAGTACGACGCGGTCCTCTTTGTGGACCAGGACGTGGACCTGATGCCGGTCGAGATTTGCGAGGTGGAGCTGCGCACCCGCTGGCGGGCGATGCTCCCCTTCGTGCTGGGGTTCGGGTCGCCCGCGACCCGGCGCGGCGCGCTGCCGCCGCAGGTGTACCACATTGACGGCGCCAGGGCGCCCCGGGCGGGGCTCAAGTTCATCGGCGCCTCGGACGGCTCCTCGCCCGTCAACACGGGGCTCATGCTGCTGCTCCCCTCGCTGCGCCTCTACCGCGAGGGGCTGCGCGTGCTCGCCAGCTGCCCGCTCAACGTATCGCACGGGTGGGGGCTCGTCGGGCCGCCGCGCGCCCTGCTCGAGGCGCCGCGCTACCTGAAGCAGCGCTACGTCTCGCCCGCGGCCGGCGGGGCGACGACCTTGCGGCCGCGGGTCAACGAGGCCTACTTCTGGTTCACCCACATCAACACCACCGGCGCCATGACCAACAACTGGTGGCGGTACGTCGCCGCCGCCGAGGATCAGGGCTTCTTCTGGTACATGATGTTCCTCCGTCACGACTTTGGCGCCTACTTCAACCCCGACGCCTCGCAGCTGCCCGGCAACGGCCCGCGCCGCAAGCAGCCGGCGCACTGGGTCTTCCACTACTTTGGCACCGTGGCGGGCGCCAAGGCGTGGAACGGGCGACGCTGGGACTCGGAGGAGCACCGAAAGGGGCAAGCGAGCCCGAGGCTGGGCTACAACCTCCACTACCTCTCGAGGGTACGGCCGCACCTGCCTAGCGAGAGCGCGGCGTGCGACGGCGAGATGGCGGGGCTGAGGAGGTCGGCCGAGGCCCACCCGCTCGCCAGAGGCGTGCTCCCGGACCGCCGCGGCCACACAAGGAGGAAGCCGCCGCGGTTCGCCATTTGGTGAGAGTCTTATTTGGACGATTCTCTTGCAACTTGCTACTGTGACGGCGGAGTTGACGCCTCCGACGGTCGTAGCGGCGTGGCTGAGGGCGGCGGTGGAGGCGCCCGATAGCGCGGTGAGGATGGTCTCATGGGTCTAGCAAACCATAGACGACACCAAGAGAACGCGAGGTAAAACCCGACGGCTATGGATGGTAAAAGGCGGCGGTAAAACCCATCCACACGGGTTTCGGTGGGTTGGATGGGAGGTAGAATGTCTACCTACCGCACCCCCCCCAATGTCGCTGGGCGGGATCGGCCCGCAGAGGCGGCATTGATCAGTTCCCCCCATGCACCGCGCGAGCTCGCGCGTTGGAGGCGTGGTCGACGCTGCGCTTGAGCTTCTCCTTGGGGACCCATTTCGTCAAGAAATCGGCGGGCATGAGGTCGTCGGTGATCTTGACGACGCGGCACTCGCCGTCGGCCATGCGGCGCTGCAGCGTGTGGTAGCGGCGCAGGAAGTGGCGCGAGCGCGAGGCGGATTTGGCGTTGTTGGCGACGAGGACGTTTGCCTTGTTGTCCGAGAGGATGACGGTCGGTCCGGTCGGCGGGGCGCCGAGGGCGACGAGGACCTCGCGGGCGTATGCGACGAGCTCGCCCGCTTTGGCGCTGGCGATGGCCTCGCTCTCGTGTGAGGAGTCGACGACGAGGCCGATCTTCTTGACGCTGTGCATGACGGCAGCGCCAAAGCAGGTGAGCAGCATGCCATAGAGGTCGAGGTCGCCGTTCCAGGTGGCGTCGGCGGCGGCGACGAGCTCGGTGGGCGCGTGCGAGTCGAGCCCGGCGATGTGCGCGCTCATGCGGCCCTGCAACTCGGCCTCCGCGTCTAGCCCGCCGTACGTGATGCCGTCGTGCTTGCGGTCGTAGGCGGTGCAGAGCGCGGCGCGCGCTACCTCGTAGGCCTCGGGCGGCGGCGCCGACATGACGCACGAGAGGCGGTGGAGGACGAGGGAGAGTCGCGGCTGCACGCGCTCGACGAATTTGAGGTGGCCGATGATGCTCTGTGTGCGCACTTGCTGGGGCGACAGCTTGCCGTCGCGGTCGGCGAGCTTGAGCGAGTCGGCGGCGTCGGCGAGGCGCTTGCCGCTGAGGACGGTCGGACGCTCGCCGCGGAGGAGCTCGGGCATGTGCTCGCGTGCGGCCTCGATGATCTTCTGCGGCATGGACAGCGTGAGGGTGCGCCGCTCGCGGTCGCGCTCGAGCTTGAAGCCGGCGAAGGAGGTGGGCGAGTAGTCGACCTTGACCTCGTCGTTGAAAGCGGCCTTCAGCGCGGCGATGGTGGCGTCGGTGATGGTGGTGCCGTTCACCTCGGAGATGAGGAAGTCGTCGACGATCGTGATCATGCGGGCCTCTCCGTGCTCCCCATGGAACGAGAACATCGCGGGGACACCCGGGCACGGCACCCACCCTAGGCCTTTGATGGTGTCATTGAACGTGCACTCCCACTCGTAGCCAGCGCACTCCTCGCCCCAGAGAGGTGAACAGAGCTCGATGCACAGCTCGGTCCCGTCCTCGTCGGTCATGGGTAGCGTGGACGGGAGCGCCATGTAGCCGACGGGCCCCTGTCGCTTGCCCTTGACATAGGCGTTCCCGACGTCTCCCTTGGTCAGGTGGGCATCGACGGCGGCGGCGTGTCCGACGAACAGCTTGGCGGTCAAGTCGTCGACAACGGTAGAGGTAGCCGGGACGCCCGACGGTGGTAGGCCGGCGCGGGCGCGTTGGACTTTGGCGAAGCCGCCGTCGGCGGAGTGCCGTGACTTGAACGGGTCGTGTTGGTCGAGGCCTCCGGTCGCCTGGTCGATCTTGATCTTGCGCGCTGTGACGCAGCGCTGGATCGGCACGCCCGCGGCCGCGGGGACGGTGACGGGCACGAGGCGGTTGCCGGGGACACGGAGGATGCAGTCGAGGGCCTTGCGGTCGGCGGCCTCCCATTGCGTCCGCTCGGGCGATTCGCGCAGCTCCTTCTTGTTGGCGGGTACGCGGAAGATCTGCTTCACGCCGAGCGGCGTGACGACGTCGACGAGGCGCTGCGTCGCCTTGAGGCACTCGGCTGGCATTGGGGCGCCGGCGGCATGGCGGGAGAGGGCGCGGAGGCACTCGGCTGAGGCGGGGCTGCCGGCGGCCTTGTGGAGACAGGTGCGGCTGGCGTCGAGGCGCTCGGCGGACGCGCACTCGAAGGGCGCGGCGCCGTCGCCGAGGATGGCGTACAGCGCAGCGTTGTAGGCGTCGACGTGCGTGCCGCTGGTGGTGCACTCGAGGGCCGCCTCGGCGACACTGGCGGCGCGCTGGAGGCGGGCCTGGTAGCGCGTCGCAGGCATGCTCGGCGGCGGCGACGGCGTGCTGGGGGCGGGCGAAGTTGGCGGCAACACGCGCCACTTGCGCGTCGTGTTAGCGAAGTCGTGCGGGTAGCACTTGTTCGGCTCGA